CCACAGAAGAACGCGGACCACCAAGACCACCAAGCATCATGACAGCAGCATCAGATGACCTTCCCATTCCTAAGTACACCGGAGCAGCGGACGATGGACCCGTGCAGGACTGCATTTATACCCCGACGGTCTACACGAGTTCAAGGTGATGCCGTTGGGCTGTACGGTACCGCAACGTTTCAGAGAGTCATGGACACTGTGCTAGCAGGCCTGAAGTGGCACACTTGCCTCGTATACCTCGACGACGTTGTCGTATTCGCCCGGACTTTCGACGAACACCTCACAAGGTTTGAATCTGTACTCCAGGCCATTCGTACATCGGGGTTAACGCTGAAGCCTGAGAAGTGCCGTTTCGCGTACGAGGAACTCAAGTTCTTGGGTCACGTCGTTAACGCCGCGGGAGTCCTACCTGACCCGGCAAAAACATCAGCCATTGCAAACTTCCCAAGGCCGAAAGATAAAAAGGGTGTGCGAAGGTTTCTCGGACTGTGCGCATACTACCGGCGCTTCGTCACAAACTTCGCACGCATTGCAGAGCCACTCACACGCCTGACGAAAGAAAGCACCCCTTTCAGCTGGGAAAACGACCAAGAAAAGGCATTCTGCGAGCTGCAACAACGCCTGCAAAACCCGCCCGTGCTCGCTCATTTCGACGAAAACGCCGAAACGGAAATGCACACGGACCCAGTGATATCGGTTTGGGTGCCGTCCTCGTCCAAAAGCAAAGCGGTTACGAAAAGGTAATCGCCTATGCAAGCCGTGGTATGCCGAAGGAGTAGAGAAACTACTCTGCCTCCGAGAAATAGTGCCTGGCTATCATATGGGCCATTTCAAAATTTAGCCCATACGTCTATGGTAGACCGTTTAAGGTTGTGACAGACCATCATGCGCTGTGTTGGCTCGCCAATTTGAAGGACCCCTCTGGCCGTCTTGGGCGGTGGAGCTTGCGCCTGCAAGAGTTTGACGTTACAATATTCTACAAATCCGGCAGGAAACACTCCGACGCCGACTGCCTGTCCCGCGCCCCCGTCGACCCACCACCACAGGACTCCGATGAAGACAGCGCGTTCTTCGGAGTCGTGACAGAGAGCAACCTAGCCGCCCAGCAGCGTGCCGACCCTGACCTCCGCGCCATGATCGACTACCTCGAAGGACGCAACGTCGCCGTGCCTAGGGTGTTCAAGCGCAACTTACCAGCATTCAGCCTCAAAAACTCCATCCTAGTGAAGAAGAATTTCAACCCCGGAACGAGAACGAATTATCTACTTGTCATCCCCGCAGACCTTCGTGACGAAATTTTGGAAGCGTGCCACGACGACCCGTCTTCCGGACATCTCGAAACAGCTCGCACGATTACAAAAATCAAGGCGAAATACTTCTGGCCCCGCCTTACATCCGACGTCACCCACTACGTCCGGAGCTGCCGTGACTGCCAGCGACGAAAAACACCACCGACGAGACTAGCCGGACTTCTGCAGCCAATCGCCGTCCCAACGAGGCCCTTCCAACAGATCGGAATGGACCTTCTGGGCCCGTTCCCTACATCCCGATCCACGAACAAATGGATTGTCGTAGCGACAGACTACATGACGCGCTACGCAAAGACCACCGCTCTTCCTAGGGGAACTGCACAAGAAGTTGCAAAGTTCTTTATTAACCAAATTGTGCTGCGACATGAAGCCCCTGAGGTCCTAACCACGGACCGAGGAACGACCTTCACTGCGGAGCTCATGCAAGGAATCTTACGCTACAGCAACACAGATCACCGAAGAACGACGGCGTACCACCCCCAAACGAACGGACTAACGGAACGGCTGAATAAGACAATCGCGGATATGCTGTCTATGTACGTCGACGTTGAACATAAGACGTGGGACGAAGTCCTCCCGTACGTCACGTTTGCGTACAACACGGCTATTCAAGAAACCACGCAGATGACACCGTTCGAGCTCGTCTACGGAAGACGGCCGACTACAATGCTCGACGCCATGCTTCCGCACGTAGAAGACGACGACCTCAACGCCGACGTCCAAGGATACCTCCAACGTGCGGAGGAGGCCCGCCAGCTCGCTCGAGCTCGTATAACGGACCAGCAACAGGTGGATGCCGGACGCTACAATCTCCGACGCCGAGACACCGAGTATCATCCTGGAGATCGTGTGTGGGTTTGGACTCCCATTCGACGACGTGGACTCGGTGAGAAACTTCTACGACGCTATTTCGGACCCTACCAGATTCTACGACGTGTTGGCGAACTGACGTACGAAGTGATCCCCGATGGGGACTCCCGTACATCACGTCGACGCACGCGGCCCGAAGTCGTCCATGTGGTTCGCTTAAAACCTTTCTACGGACGATGACGAACTTTTATTTTAATTTGTGTAGACTGTCCCTTATGTTAGCATCGGGTCGATGCACTCTTAGAGGGAGGGTAATGCCGCGAACCATGCATTGGGTTTGTTTATTTGTGTTTTGTTTTTTCGGCCTGGCTGCGCCGGCCTGTGCTATCGCCGTTTTCACAGCGTTTCGAACAAACGCTATCGAACAACGCTTAGGCGTTGTTCGATAGAAACAACGCTTCAAGCGTTGTTTGTTAGAAGCGCTGTTCGTACGAACAGCGTTTCTAACAAACGCTATCACGGCGTTCTCGATACAATTCGACTATTCGAGAAACCCTCGCGCCGAGGGATATAAATTCCCGCACAGCCGATGCCACGACATTCGATCGCCGACGCTCACTAGCGTGCACGTCGTTTTGCCGACCGCTGCTTCGCCGCCTGTGTATTATTTCAGTTGTTTGGGGAGCACAGGTTCGCTCCAATAAACTTGTTTTTCTTATAGACAACTGTGTCGTCCTTTGCTGCGTGACAATATATATATATATATATATATATATATATATATATATATATATATATATATATATATATATATATATATATATATATATATTATATATATATATATATATATATATATATATATATATATTACGGTGACCCCGCTACTAACTGCAGCGAATGATCACCGCGGGTTCACGCTTCGCGAGCCACAGGGCCGCAACTCCGCCACCTACTCGCGTGTAGTGCACCGCTCCGCCCGCGCTCAACTAATAAGGCGTTTAGCGTGGCGCGGCAAAACAGACAGTGTTCCAATACAAAACACACAACACTTTATTGCCTCTGGCGGCACCCCGAACAACAGTACAACGTCCGCTCCCGGGACGCGGGTAGCAAAGGCACCCGCACGCAGACGTTCACAATAAGGGGAAAACCGCGAGCACGTCGCAGCTGGCAATGGCGAGCTTTGACATGGCGGTCGGGAAAAGGTCTCTCGCGGCTATGCTGCGAGAGACATCAACAATATTAATGAGATGAATGTATAGGGGAAGTTAATAAAACAAATGGAATGTAAATAGGAAGAAAGAAAAGTGGGTGAAAGAATAACCAGCCGTGAGCAGGATATATATATATATATATATATATATATATATATATATATATATATATATATATATATATATATATATATATATATATATATATATGTGCATTGAATATTGACCTCCATGGTAATGCCGGTGGCAGATTTCTCCTGTATGTTGTTGAACACAAAACTTCACAAAGCGGAGTGTGGGTCTTTGTGTCCGATCAGAGTCTTCTGTCTCTCATTTCCCATCAGCAGCGATTGGCATGCTTCAGTAGGAAACACTGGTCTATCACTCCGTGCTTTGCGTCTGTGCGCAAAACAGTCTGCACAGAAAACATAGCGTGCATATCGTTTTAAACAAATAAAAGGCTGCTACACTGTAAGAACACCGACATTTAACTACCCATCAATCAAAGCATATGACAGAACACAAGGCCAAAAAGAACAAAATAGAAGGCTCTTGACCAGAACGAGATGGAAGGCCACAACAATATAAATAGGCAATTTCCACAACATTCATTGACTTGTTTTTCACCTTTCATACACGAGGGTTACACACGTGAGGAAACGTGTTGGGACGGCTTTACGCTCTCCCATAGTAGAGTACATAGTACTCTAAATTGTTAACCACTTTTTCTAAACAGACTATGTAAAGTACGCCCGCGGGACGGCTATGTGCTCTCCCAAAGGAGAATGTCTAGTACTCTAAATCGTTCCCAACTTTTTCTAAATACACAGACACAAAATATTTAGCGGGACGGCTCAGTGCTCTCCCATAGTTGAGTATCTAGTACTCTAAATTGTTCCCAACTTTTTCTAAATACACAGACACAAAATATTTACGGGACGGCTTAGTGCTCTCCCATAGTTGGGTACGAAGTACTCGAAATCGTTTAGCATTTTTTTCTAAACACACAAAAAACGTGCCATCACAAATTAAGCTTCTTGCATACAGTAGATTTATACGAACCCGTCTTGAGAACGCATGCGTGGCCTGGGACCCTTACTTTAAGCAAAGACATTCATAAACTTGAAGTGGTCCAGAGAAGGACGGTAAGAATCATTTTAAATGTCTATCACAATCTTTATTCACCTTCATCACTTATGGCTACAAACAACATTCCACTTTTGAACCAGCATAGAGCTATCGCCAGACTCAGTTTTTTTTCCTGCTTCTAGATCGTCAGTTTAATATCGATCCTCATGAATACCTATCTCCGTCTTCTTCCAGGCAAACCAGACATAATCACAATCATGATCTGACGCCATACTTCGCACGTACTAACATTTTCAAACACTCCTTCTTCCCACGAACCATTAGCTAATGGAATACATAGCCTACATGTGCTTTTCCTGAACATGGCATTCCTGACCCTGAAAAATTCATGCATTTTTTTTCCTTAGCCAACATTGTTGATACTATGCTATATAACGTCATATCATGAGTTCAGTTGTGTTGCGTTACTTCTTTGCTTAAGCCTGTTCCAAACAATTTGTGCACTTTTTTTTTCTAGTAGGGTATATTTAATTCCCTTTTGTTAGTATCTACTTGTTTTCCTGTTATTGCGTAGGATAGTAAGAAAATTTTGCTGTACAAACGTGTTCCGTTTGTTTTCACTGTGTTCCCTCTCTTCGCCCCTCCTGCTTGGTCTACGGACTGCAGTAATAAGGTCTACGGACTGCAGTCTATGGACTGCAGTAAATAAAGTAAAAAACAAAAAAAACAAAAAAATCAGTGAAAAAATTTTTGAACTTTGTTTTTATACATAGTGTAAATTTTTTTTCAACACAGTCACCACATCTGCTGCTTTAGCAGTCGGGTGCTGCCATGCGTGGAACGTGTCAGTCGTTTTCATTCACGTCCGGGGCGCAATTTCTCTCAACATAAGCTCATCAGGTGTGAGCATAGCTCAGCGAACTCACTCATGAATCCACTCACATGCTCAGACTCGGATGAAGCCATGAATCTGACCCTGACTGAGTCCAAAGCAGTGTATAGTTCATACACCGTTCCAATATTTATTATAGGCGTGAACTACATGGGGGGGGGGGGGGGGTACCTTGAGCTCCCTCCACAAACTCATACAAGGAATTTCTTGAACATTTGATGCTGTCATCTCTTCGAATCAAAATGACCGTACTGGTTTGGAAGCACTCTGCAGTACTCGTTTTAGAAGATGCTACGTGAAACGGCGCCTAGAAAAGCACCGATTCTCGGCTGACTAACTAATGATTCGACTCACTAGGACTCACTCACTCAGATCGAGCCGGGAGCCTTATAGGTGTCCGGGTGAAGAAAACTGTCGTAAGCGTGAGTCCGAGCAAGTCCGAAGCTCAAAATATATTTCATGAGGGTGCCTGGGTATGCTCCGCAAGTTTTGCCAAACCATGCTGCAGAGTGCTTCCAAAGCAGTACGGTCATTTTTCTTCGAAGAGATGACAGCATAAAATATAATAATCAAAAAATTCCGTAGAAGAGTTGATGGTGGGTCAAGGCACGTAATTAACGGCTCTACTGCCCCACCGCGGTGGTCTAGTGGCTAAGGTACTCGGTTGCTGATCCGCAGGTCGCGGGATCGAATCCCGGCTGCGGCGCCTGCATTTCCGATGGAGGCTGAAATGCTGTATGTCCGTGTGCTCAGATTTTGGGTGCACGTTGAAGAACCCCAAGTGGTCGAAATTTCCGGAGCGCTCCTTTACGGCGTCTCTCATAATCATATGGTGGTTTTGGGACGTTAAACCCCACATATCAATCAATCAATTAATGACTCTAAGAAATATTGAGACGGTGTATGAACGACACTGCTTTGGATTACCAGCAAGTTGACGTGTGTGAGGCCCACGGGACGGCAAGTTGCCTCATGTGCAGCTCACTGCTCTTCTATAGTCCGGTACAAAGTACTCGAAATCGTAGAGCACAGAACAAACGAAATAAAAGCTACTACATCATAAAAACACCTACATGTAGCGATACGTCAATATAAGCTTATGTCATTACGAAATAAAAGGCTGTTAACCCGAACAAAATGAAACGGCACGATTCACGATCCGATGCACACTGCCTCGCGCTGTCATCAGCACTCACTTCGGAAATCTGCCTGAATTTTTTTTGCTACTTACTTCGTCAGGTTTGGCTAAACGTCAGCGACGTCGACGCCCAAATGGCCCTGCTCAAAGACATCGACGCTGGAGTCTCGAAGCTTTTCGCGACGGGGTCCAGGAGCGAGGAGCAGATGCCGCTGCGTGACGCGGTCGCCAACATGTTCCCCGGTGTCTCGGCCGAGGACTGGGTGGCCGCTGTGAGCGCCTCGCAGCGTCATAGAATCGTGCTCGTGCCCACGGACGACATACTTACCCGCGGCTCCGAGATTTACAAGCCGGCTACGCAGGTGACGAGATTGAACGAGTCGTAGGCTGCATTCGGCCGTCGCATTAAAAATGAGTTCTAGAGAATCCCGCAAGGGGGCGATAGGGTTCATGCTAAGGCAGTATTCAGGCGACATTGACCTCCCAGCGTTCTTGTGTTCCATTCAGTGTTCGGAGGCGCGAAAAATTGGACACTTTGTACATTTCAAAGCGTGTTCGGCGAAAGCGTGTAGCCATTTGACAATGCCATGAATTTTTTTGTTTTTCGTTTGTTTTTTACACTCTCAGCAATAACGTCATTTATGAGACAGTGTAAGAGGGAGAGGCTACAGCTGTGACGCGAAACTGTTGCTATGTGCCGCTTTGAGCCACAGCTGGCACCGCTCTAGTCACCGCGAGTATGAGGCATTCAAGAGTTTCGCGCCCTAATGTTCAGTGTACTGACTCAAATTTCTGATCATGATATAGCGGCAGAAATAAAGTGCGCTACTCCTTTTTCCCCCTCGGTAATGCATACAACACTGCGGAAAACCATCACACTGCCAGTAGTGCTACGGTAACGATCGTTCCACTGTACATGTTCTCGAAAAAACATGGTGGTTGTGCGATTTGCAGTAATCAACTAAACTGTAATAATTGCGGTGTAAAACCGAACAGAAGTGGATGAAAACCAGCTTTCCACCTGAGGGGGGTTGGAATAAGGGTTTGTTGGCGCTTGACTGGTGACCGCAAGGTGGCGGGATCGAAACCCAGCCGTGGCGGTCGCATTTCGATGGTAGCGAAATGACGGAGGAACGTGTGTACCAATTTCAGGTGGTAAAAAAAATTCGGAGTCTTCTACTACGGTGCCTTTTATACATTTATGTGGTTCCTGGACGTGAAACTATGAAAATTATTATTTAAATCGATTTACGTGCACTCGCGCACACAAACGCGCGACGCAGTTCGTGGTGAAGTACGGCCTGCGGAATGCCACCTTCTACCTGGCGACAAACCTGGAGGCCGACGTGCTATACGTACTCTCCACTCACAAGAAGATCCTCAAGAATGACGTCAGCAAGGGTTTCTACTGTCTCGGCTTCACTCACAAGTGCCTGGCGCTCACCTGGGCCTACCTGGCCGCGAGGCTGCTTGCGCCGATCGGCAGCACGGGTGTGATTTTCAACATACTCAAGTTCATGAACGAAATCGTCCATGAGACGGACCAAGTGCTCAGTTGGATGAAGGTACGCATTGTGCGGGCGTTCGGCGCTATATGGACGAGGTGGCCGCTTAACCGCCGATTCGGAGCATCGGTTATCTGCCAACCTCACTGTGTGAGGTTGACAGATAAGTTAATCGATGTATGAACACGAAATAGTTTTATATCAGACCTCACCAGTCAATCGCTGTCGTCAAATTGTTATCGAAAACAACGTCACCGAAGAGCTTCGGTCTATGCTCATTTCATTTCAGCGCTTGCGACGTGCTGCCAACCTAACATATCGAAAATCTTGCCAATCTAGGGACAGATCGGCTGCTCGGTGGCGTTTCGATGGAAACGAAACGGTATCGAGGATTGTGTACTGTGCAATATCACGTCAAAGAGCACCAGATGGTTGGAATTCACGCAGCCCTCCAATTGTGTCTCACCTAATTGCATTTTTATTTTGACACGTAAAGCCTTAGATATTATTATTATTATTATTATTATTATTATTATTATTATTATTATTATTATTATTATTATTATTAGCACCAGGCGCGCAGAGCAATGCCGTTACCCGTGGAGAAACGCTGCTACGGTGTCGAGTGCCAAAGCCATACGAAGTTTGATAAGCTGCAGGAATGCCGCGCACTTCTCAACTCTGCTCGTGGTTGAACAAAGGGTTCAAAGTTTGCACGCGTAGTATGGCAACAAACACCCTTAGTATTATGCTGCAGGGAATTAGGTTCTTACACTACTCCGTTTTTTGTTCTCGATTGGCGTAATGGAGATGAGACAATCAGTTACTCTCGCTGCAGAACACGACCGCCGTCAAGGCGAAGGAAGTGGTGTCTAAGACGTTGCTGGACGTGGTCGCTGGCGAAGGCTTCAATGTTTCCCGCGTCGACTACTCGGGCCCGGAGCCGCCGCTCGACGAGTCCGACCCTTTCCTGAAGAACCTGGTCGTGGCCCTGAGGCACCATCACGCCGTCATGGCCGCAAACCCTCCCACGCGGCTTGAGGTGCTCATCTCGGACCTCGAGTTCAGCAGCTACCTCAGCTACGTGCCCGAAAAGAAGGCCATCCTTGTGCCCACCCTGTACCAGGTCTGTCTCACTCGCGGTATACTCATCACCGTCAATTAGAACACGAAATTCACGCTTTGTGGGGCTTCAAAGAAGCACTGTATCAGTGATGGACTTTCGCAATGTCAAAAGGCATGTCTGTTGCCTTCCGTCGTTCTGTTGAAGAAGGGCGTTTGGTGTTATTGATAACTATCGGTAAACATGCGAAGAAAGGGAATCAAAAGATAACAGGGAGGAGTAATTGCAGGGAGAAAGGGTTCATGGCATGGCAAAAGGAGTGCACTATAGCGTAATGCCGCAATACTAAATACAATTAAGAAGTATTGAGGGACTATAGTACAATAGTCTGGTTTTAAAGCCACTCGACAAGGTCGGCAGTGATAATGAAGGAGAGAAAGGCAGCAAGCGCATAGCGGCGAAAGACACTTGGCAAGCCGGAAAAAGCGCGAAAAGGGAAGAAGTATTGTGACATTGCCTTGAGGCTTCGCGCACTAAATTGTCCTGACATCGTGGGTTGCGACTCTTTTCGATTAGTGCTGACTTGCACGTACATGCGTATCGCTAAGAATGAACGTGGACTTCCATACGGAGAGCCACCGGACCCAGGACAGAGTTAACGTATCTCCTTGAGAAGAATCGCGCACTTGTCGAGTCACAATTAACCGAAAAGCGCTACACACACACTCTCTCTCTTTCGCATAGTGTCTGCATGTCCTTGGCACTAAATTTGCTACTCTGTTTTCTAACGGCGCCAAATAGCAAAGCTGGAATGCAAGTAACGCCACCCAAATAAGGATCCGTGTAAATTGTAATCGAATATCCCCGCTGCCCCAATGATGTCAGTGGGTAGGTCACGGCAAAATCGCCTGAATGTCAAATTAAATATCTTAGCGTTTTCTAGCTTCGTAGTTGCTCAAAGCGGTTTCCTTGAACAGAATATGTTTGTATGGCGCGAGTAAGGTCAGCTTCGATAATTGGTGCGTGTAAACTTAAAATGAGCTTGCGTCTGTGTCGCGCACGCCTTCTACGGACGTCTTCGGTGCAGAACAACCCGTACTTGTACCCGTTCCGGGTACCGGACTTCTTCAACTACGGCACCCTGGCGGTGCTCATAGCTCGCGTGCTGATCGCTGATGTCGTCGGCACCAGCACCGGTAGCACTCAGCAGGACAGCTGGGATAACGTGACGCGGGTCAAGCACGCCGAGGTCATGAGCTGCCTGGCGCAGCGCCGGGCCAGCCTGGGCTTCGGAGACGTCAATCCTGTCAGCGGCGCCCAACAGAAGGCGCTCATTCTTACGCTTACAATGAGCGTTCGGCTTGCCTACTACGCCCTTATGAAGACATTCCGCTTGAAGGTATGAATGCCCAAGTGAACAGTTGGTAGCACTTGGCCAGGATGGTGCGGCCAAAGGTGGTTAGACAGTTGGGACGACCATCACTGGATCTACACGCACGCTGTTCTTTTTAAATGAGAATGCATTTCTTAGTCGGGCTATGTCAGGCATCCGGCGTTGTCCGCGGTGGTGTCCGCGCGCCGGCAGCGCTTATCTCGCTGCTCTTACTCCCTCTTCCATAGCAACAGCTGCGTACTCGAGCGCTTATCCTCGCCCCTAGCAACCGGAGCATGTGGTGCGAGAGAGTGTAGGAGAGGGTAGGTGCAGTGCTTCGCCGCTCCTTCTCTCGCCGTTCGTTCTTTCTCCTTCAAGCGCCCCTCTCTACCGTCCGCTCGCGCCTCACTCGACCGTTCACTGGCTTGGTGCTTTTCAAGAACATCCGGAAATCTGTGCTTGAGACGCCGCTGTGAAACCCTAACGCTGTGCCGAGAACGCTGGTGCCTCACTCTCCCGTCTGCTCTCTCCTCACGCTACCGTTCACTGAATGGGCGACTCCCAAGGCGTTTGAAGAAGTCGGTGAAGGCGAAAGTCTGACGGCAACGGTACGCTCCCTCGGTGCAAGAAATGCATTCGCGTTCGCTCACGATTCCCATCTGGGATGTGGGGGAATTTTTATCGAAAAGCTTCGGTAAATTATGTACTCAAATAATCATATGCCTCATCGGGTCAAGAAAGTTTGAGATCTGGCTCTAGACGTGACGAGGCATCGCGAGTTGGTGGCATCAATACGAATGATGAAGAAAAAACTTTAAGCAGAAAGATCAGGATAAAGGTTACGGGATCCTCAACCGCATGGATGTAGGTGGATCGCATACCGAAGGTACCATGACAATCACGTTACGCGACGTCATCGATGCCGTTATTCGGATGTCCGCATGACATTTCACACCACCGTCACAGTAACCTTAGGGGTCGCGAACGGCTTCGTGTTTCTCAACGCTTTCCCAGCACCATTACTACCAGACTTGACCCGCCACGTTGGTCAAGCATGGTGCTCTACTGCGGACGTGAAGGTCGTCCGGGTGGCTGCACTTTCTGGTGGAGGTGAAAGTGCTTGAGGCCCATATACCCATAAATTTAGGCGCACACAAAAGTCCCAAAAGTCACATTGTCGACATTCCTGGAGCCCTTCACTACGACGTCACTAATAGTAAATGGTTTTTGAAGCGCACAGCCCTAGATATATTCATTACTAATATTACTGCATGAGGCGAGGTCTCAACCAATCATGTGATATGGTTTTTGTTAAGATCACGCGACAATATCTGTTAAGTTTCAAATCGACTCGCCCTTTCGAATACGTGCGAACAATCATCCCAGATTCGCGTGTGCAGATCTGTACACGATGAAAATAAACTGTTTGCCTCTTAGGTATATTGCTCTAGCCACCACAGCTTAGGCACACTGTAGGCAAAGACCATATATGCACCCGCTCGCTTTGCAGGCTGGAACAGCCAAGGTGTTCAATGACTACTGGCCAGCGGCAGAGGAAGTGTTCTTCGCGCGCTTTTGTCTGCTCTGGTGCAGCGCCAGCAACGACGCGAACCCTCTGACGCCACGCGAGCGGTGCATGCTGCCGCTGTACAACATGGAGGAGTTCGTTGACCACTACAGTTGCAAGAGTCGCGCAAACTTCAGCGCGGCTCCCTTCTGCAAAGTGTAGCGTGGCGTCCCTCGTATCGTACCGCATTTGACGCTATTGCGGCACACCATGTGCTCTACATATTGCTGCACCATTCTACGTCGTATAACGATACAACGTGCGTGATATAGCTGTGGAGCAAGGTCTCGCACTTTTGGTTCATCTAGCATTCGTCATCTACACCGCACAATGCTGCACACGTCGAACCGTATTTGTACCGGCGGCTTCAGTTCACAATAACTTTCTTTCCTCGGCTTTAATAAAAACAGTTCTCAATCAAATAGTATTTTCCGATGGTGCAAAATAACATAAGATAACCCAAAGTTCTAGAAATGCTTTCATTGGAGTCTGTAGCTGACATGCATGGTTCGCGCACTAGTGCAGTCGACCGCAAAAGTTTGCAGACCATGCGAGCACGTGCCAAGCTAGAGTTATTATATATGCTACCTTTAAGTAGCAGAGTAGCGCCACTGTTTTCTGGGTGCCGCTCCCTCGGCTTTTGAAGATTCCAGCAAAGCTATTGGTCGCGCGCCATCACGTGGTCATAGGTGGTTCAAATGCACTGCGGAGAAGCCAACAATACACAGACGATGCTGATGCTTCGGAGTGTTGTTAGCGTGCTGGCGCCCTTCGCACGGACACTGAGTGCGTCCGTCACAGACACTGGGCGCGTCCCACAGAGACGCTGGACGCGTCTCAATGGCGGTGCTGCTCCCTCCTCCTTCAGCGTCTCGGCGCGTGTAAAAGGCCGGTTGCATCTAGCGTCGGAGGCCTCTAGGCATGATCGGAGCAACCGAGTTTAGCCGTCACCCCCGGAAAAGCTTCCGGGGGTGACGGTTTAGCTCATGCCTTCATAAAAAAATAAAAAGAAAGCAAAAAAAATGAGCAACGCTAGTACTCTGAAGTGCGAGCACTGCTCCTACGAGGGTGGTGAGTGGCTTTTCCGCAAGACTTTTGAGCCCAATATGGCGTACGTTGGCGCAACACTGCTACCTAAAGGTAGCACATACAGTAATTCTCTGCCAAACTAAGGTCCCTAGATGAAACAAGCTTCCAAGGTAGCAACGCATTTCCCTTTCCTCCTCGCCTATGTTCCTGGAGCGCCCCAAGAAGGTTCAAAACTTTCATCAAAAAGCGAATATTTGGGTTTGGTTGCTATGGTCAGTAGATTTAAATGAAACAAATTAAAACGAAATGAGTCGTAGAATAAATGGTTACTTTTATGAACATAATGGTACAACACAAGAGCAAGCGGAATGTTACTCAACTGGCAACATTGTGCTGTTCTATATTTTACACCACTAGCCATGACGTTTCGCGTGGTTCATTGTAGTTGGTCCAGTTCTCCGAGTTTAGTTCGTGCTGTGACACAGTGACCGCGCTTCTTGCTGGATCATGTCAGTGACCACAGGGCGTGACAAGTGATTACAGCTGGTTTGTGCACACGCAAGAAAAAACCACGGCCAGACTGGTACGAATGCTTGACCAGCAGCCCTGCGATGACGTTTTTTTTAATGTTCCCGTTTGGACAATCGTGATGCCAGGTGAAATAGCATTGTAGTAGTAGTATGTAGCCACCTCTAGTTTATGAATAGGTCAATTGATGGCGTTATGTGTATATAATATCATTACACGGAATTAATGGTTTTGGTATAGTTCACAATCCCGTATAGTTAACGAATGGACGACAAAGAGACACAGACGGGCGGACAGACAAATAGACGGACGGACAGAGTCAGACGAATGTAAGTATTGACGGATGGACGCACGGGCGGATGGACGCAAGGACGGATGTACATATGGAAGCGTGGACGGACAAACAGGCGAAAGCACGGACAGACGCAAGGAGAGACGGACGGACGGGTGGAGTGTGCATGAACGGACGCGAGCACGGATGGGCAGATAGACGGAAGTACGTATGGACGGACACACGGATGCGCAGACGGATGGAAGCACGGACGGACGGATGTACGAAAGAACGGATGGACGGAAGCATTAACGGATGGACAGGCGGACGGACGCTTCACCCCACTCATCACTATTCACTCCGTGAGTATGCTGCGATTTTTGTTTTTATTTCAATCAAGAAAGTCGCTAGCAGACACTGCCTGTATCGACTTAGCGAGACGCCGCGGGCAGGAATGCCGAGAGGAAAGGGGGAACGAGCGTAGGTTAGCATACTCTCTCATGTTGGCATTGCGAGATAGGAGGGGTGGAGTGTAGGAGAAAAGGAAGAGCGGAGAGGACGCTCATGCGTGCGCAAGCAGGTGGTAGGAGAGAAGTGGAGAGAGTAACTCACAGCTGTTGGAAAGAGGGAAGGGGGAGAGTCGTGCAAGCGTAGTGCGAGTGCGTATTAATCACGTATGACATACCCCCGAGCAAGAGATGTTCCGCATCTAAAACTATGTCGCTTATCCATTCAGTTGAGGTGAAAGCCATCTTGTTCTTCCCCTCGGTCGATATACTGATCCCGCCCCGCTACCCTTGGAAAGCTTTCTGCTACAAACGTAATTTTACACTGACTTCCAAGACTGGAGGCACTTCACCTGGTTTTACATTGTCTCTGTGATCGGATTACTATGAAACAAGCTACGGTGTCATGCAGTGACTTCATCACGGAATTTTTAATACAAAAGTGTTTTATGTCGGCGTCCACCACGGCTCCACTGGTGTATTTTCCTTCTAGCGTATAACATTGTAAAATATACACAAAAACATAGCAGAGAAACAAACGAGAAGGAACATTAACACAGCGGGGCGTCGAACCAGTGACCTCGCACTCCTTGGCGCACGACGCTATCCACTAACCCACAAAACGAACCCTCTCCATTGTGTTAACGGCAAGACATTTATACACACACATGTACCGCTGGCGGTCCTCAGAGCTCAGCAACTTCAGTGTGTTTTCGTCATCAGTAGCGAGATGTCATGACCGGCGCACGTTGGGCGCGCGCGCTCTGAAGGTGATCGTGCATCGTCACCCCGCGTCGCTATTAGCCTCGAGCATAGAGTTTTATTGCCTGACCACATTCAACGACATTACACAACATTTCAGACTAAACAGACGCAAATACCCTCCACCGCACAACAAATTGGACAGAAAACAGGCCGTAACTCTAAGGTTATTACAAACAAATCCGTACCCCAACCCGGTAACCCCACGCCTGTGTTATCCTCACCTATACCCGACGGACGCGTGTAAAGCGTGTGGGGAAAAGGCCACACTGCAGCACATGCTTTGGGAGTGTGCTGAAAAAGTTAACGTCACTGCCACCGCTCCCTTCGCGACGCATGTTAGGCAGGGACGAAATCCGAGGTCGATTGCTGCTGCCACCACCGCGCGAGGGCAGGGGCCGACCTCCGCCGTGGCTGCGGACACTGTTGCCGATCGGCGGCGAAGCATTTATTGCGAAGAATTTCTTAGCCAACTTCAGCGACATTGAGCATATCTATCTATCTATCTATCTATCTATCTATCTATCTATCTATCTATCTATCTATCTATCTATCTATCTATCTATCTATCTATCTATCTATCTATCTATCTATCTATCTATCTCTATCTAGCCGCCCACGACTTTTAGCTCTCCTGGCCGTTTCAATAATGGTATCAATACCAAGCTTGGTATGGCATAACATGACTGTATGAAGAACATATTTTACTAGTCATAACATGAAAATCATGACATGTTTGTTATGAATGTCATGACTTACATTTCATGGTCCTGCAGCTCTTGCGGTGGTTTCGTTCACATTGCATGTTGCAAAACTGGTATGGTATGACATGATTGCATGGCGAACACAAGCGACAGACCTTCACACAAAAATCATGACGTGCGTGTCATGTAACAACATGACTACATGCCAACCTCATGATGCACTCGTGGGCGTTTCGCTAGCGTCACATATACCAAATTTCGTATTGCGGTACGCGAATGTATGACCAAGGTATGTGACTGGTGCAAACACGATAATCATGAGATGCGTGTCATGTAACAACATGACTACATGCCACGCTCATAATGCACCGGCGGCCGTTTCGCTAGCTTCCCTTATACCAAATTTGGTATTGCGGTACGTGAATGGATGACGAAGGTATGTGACTGGTGCAAACATGATAATTATGAAATGCGTGCCATGTAACAAAATGGCTACATGCTACGCTCATGATGTGCTCGCGGCCATTTCGATGGCTTCACGTGTACCACCAACTCGGTAATACGCCACGCGAACGGACGACATAGGTAAATGACATACAAACATGATAATCATGTAAAGGGGGTTTATTGAAGGACTGAGCAAGCGGGTGGTAGCTCTAAAGGAACGCAGGCGAACCCAGATGACGGTGCTTGATCGCCGATCTCGTGCCTTCTTCTTGTGCTGATGATAGCTGACCTGATGGTATCAACGTCTTTCTTATTCACTACAATTACCCCCGGCGAAAAGTTGAAGCCATCCTGGCGATCTAACACGTGGGGACAAGCGGGTCAAAGTACGGCTTCAGACGGTTTACGTGAACGATATCACGTCCACGCCGACGACGGTCGCTCGGTGGCGTGAGGGGTTCAATGGCGTAGTTTACGGGTGAAGTACGCTCGACCACGCGGTAGGGACCATGATAATTGGAGAGTAGCTTGGGTGATACACCAGGGGCGCAGGGCGGTACATGAAGCCATACAAGTGCTCCAGGAACGAACGTCGGTGCAGAACGATGGTCGTCGTCACGGATCTCCTTCTGGCGCTGTTGGTCGGATGTAGTAAGCCGCTTGGCTAGCTTGCGGCACTCTTCTGCGTAACGAGCGGCTTCCGAGACAGGCTTGTATTCGGAGGGATCTGGCGAGTATGGGAGTAAAGTGTCGGTGGTGTGTGATGGTTCGCGACCGTACAGGAGAAAAAATGGGGAAAACCCTGTAGTGACTTGCGTAGCGGTGTTATACGCGTATGTCACAAATGGGAGAACGAGGTCCCAGTTTGTTTGATCAGAAGCGACATGCGTAGCGAGCATGTCCCCCAGAGTACGA